ACATCGTGGGCTGATGACTTAGAATGTCATGCTCACTTGTGGGATGTGCTTGAGCAGCAGCAGGAGATAACGGGTCTTTTCTGGCTGCTAAACTGAGTTTTCTATGTCCATGTGTGTTGTAAGGGAGAGGGGAACTCTGTATGTTTTTGGCAATTATTGCACAAACAAGATTATCTTCTGATATATTATCCCTTTGGACTTTGATGACAATAACCCAGCAAAGGGAATTTCAAGAGGTCATCAGGGTAAAAGAAAAGAAAACAAACAACTCTCAATGTAGCTGTGAGGAAGGAACTTTCATTTTAATTTAAAGCTGTAATTCTATTTTATGTTAGAACTGGTTTGCAACTTTTCTAATGAAAAATTTCACAAAGGATTAATTTCCTTTTTTTTTTTTCTGTCTCATTATTGTTTGGCAGTCAAGGTCGAAGCTAGATCACACTATCCCAAAGACCCATTTGAGTTCAAGAACGCAACTCAAAATTCTCGGCTTGTGACCAAGCCAGGTGAAGGAGTGCTGGATCCCATCCCAGTTTTGAGTAACTGCCCTGCACCCCTCAATGCTCTCCTTTAACATGCTGAGTTCAGTTGCAGAGGCAAGATGCATGGCTGTGGACTTCAGCATGCATTGAGCTGGTTGGGCAGCAAAATACCAGAGCAAAACTTTGAAGACCAATAAATAATAACTAAAACTACTGTGCTGCAAACTGGCAGCTTGCTCGAGACTGCAGCCGGGAGCCCGTCAGCTAGATGCCTTTGCCGTTCAAGCCACTTTGCATGCCTCTTACTCTGAGTGATTCCAGTGTGAATATGACATTACTAATGACCTGCTAAGTGTGTGCAGATGTGGGTTTCTCCAGATGTGGTGATTAATAACGTAATGGAGATAGCCAGTCAACTCATGTTTATGGGTCGTTTGCCTTTTATTACGTTTCTGAGTTTATTTGCTTTGAACTATTTCTTAACTCCAGCCAACAAACTCACCTTTAAGTCTCAGAGGGCATCATCCCCCTAAACCCTGTTGAGGAAACAGGGAAGAAGGAATGCGCCCCAGGCTGGAGCTGAGCCACAGGCTCATCCTATGTCGGGCACTGGACGATTAGGGGAAGCTGGAAGTTGAAATCATTGCCCGTTTTACTCAGAGGCCCACAAAGAGGCACTGGTGAACCTGGACACACTGTTTGCAAGCTGGCTAGGCCAATAAAGAAAGGGATTTCTTTTTCTAAAAACCCAGTAAAATATGTGATCATCTCAAAGTAAGCCCAGCGTACTGGCCAGTGTTTCTGGAAGAGTCGCCGTGCATTAGCTTGAAAACGGAATGACGATGGAAAGTCGAGTAAAATGTTGTTACAGATGCTCGACTCCGCATTAAGGCTGTTGGAATTACCACCACATCCTAAATCAATTCCCAGAACATTGTCTGGAGGTTATGTCATCGAAATAATGAATCCTCTTTAGTCAAGTATAAGCAAACATGTTAAAACATCAATGTAACTTTGAATTAAACTCTAGCGCCAACCAAGGGATCTGAGGCCTCATTAGACTTGCCTGACATTTTTCTAGCACCGAGCCTCCTCCAGCTGTAAAACTGTTAGATTCAGTGCCTCTCGGACGGGCGAGCGCGGGAAGTCACAGCAGCCAGTAAGTGTTATACTTAGGGATGTGCACAAACAAGCCCTTGGGTTTTATGAGGACTTGGAGACTGGATGGAGTTCAGCCCCTGTGAACATTCCACATTGGATTCCTCAGCTTGTTTGTGTTTTAAAGAAGCTGGTAAGTCAGGTTCCTTTAGCAGATCGTATCTTCACCTTCACGAGGCTTGTACAGCGTGATGCCAGTGAGGTGCAGGAGACGGGGGTATTGGCATCAGGCAAAAGCAGGCAAACTAGGAACCTGTGAGTGTGCGTCAGCGTGAGGGGCTGCCCCTACTTCAGTACATTTAACTTTCCTGAAAGTATGTAATTTTAAGTCTCCCTTTTAATTCATTTTTTATTCCTCTGATGTAATCACAGAAGCCATGAAATGAACATTATATTTTATAGCTTAACTGAAAGTTTTCCTAGATTTGCTTTCTCTAAATATGCAGAAATGGATGGAATCTTTGTAGAGGGTAATCATTAAATATGGTTTCTACCCCACTTATGAGAAGGAAGTTATCACTGCTCCTCTTGTGGGATCTGAACCATCTGTAACAGTCCCCATTAGACAGCGCTCACATCTTTAAGTGGAGACATTTCCCCTTCTCCTCGGGGACCAGATCTGCATTTCCAGGCCGTGGGTGCAGGAGGAAACCTTTGAACACGAGTTTCATTTAAGAGAACAAATCCCAGTTTAAATGCAGTATGATTATGATGGATGATCTTTCTGACTTGCAATGAAAATAAATAGTTTCCTTGCACAGAAGGAGGCATAACTAGCACCAGAGCAAGGTGTCTCCCTGGAGCTGGCTAACAGGTATTAACTTGCAAGCCTTCCATCTGAACATCACTGCAGTAAACAGACAGCAACAAGGTGCAAGGATCAGGGGTTTTTAACCAAAGAGGGTTATTTATTGTGGACCCAGTGCAAATGGGAAAACAAATATTAAGCAAAGAATCTAACAGAAATGTCGAGCATGACTTCTGTTCAGGTCTTAACCAACACAGACAAAACCACGGCAGCATCTGGCGGCCTTGAATGAAGTTAGCCATGGTAGACTGGGTGAAAGACCCTTTGGGTATTTTGTTCCGACCATTGAAAGGCTTGTACGATAGAGAAGAAAAGGACTTTCATCCCCACTAGTCCACTGCCATGCACGATTATTTAGTCTGGCATGCTACTGAGCTAATCCAGGTCACCCTGAACACAGTACACACAATACAGCTATTGCAAGTGGCCCACATTAAAGGATGACCTTGTATTACAGGTGGAGTCGGTATAAGACTCTCTACCCCAGTCTAAGATGGGGAAAGTGCAAAAGCATTTCTCGCTCTCTCTCTCTCCCTCTCTACCTCCCTCTCTCCCTCTCTCTCTCGCGCTCTCTCTCTCCCTCTCTCCCTCTCTCTCTCTCGCTCTCTCGCTCTCTCAATCTCACTGCCTTTCTGCCCCGTTATTGCCTGGGATGCCCGGCCCCCTGTCCTGTGAAAGGAAGATGAATTCAGGTCAAGCTCAGAGTGCCTGTTTGCTCGCCCAGAGATGCATATCAGCTCTAAGTGATTTTTTTCAATACCATTTATGTGGCTGGTATTTATTTCCTTTAATCTTTTAAGTGCTGTTCAGTCTCCTTGTGATTTGCTGTGGATACTCATTTCTGATAAGATGCGATACCCTCCCAGGCACAGAGTCCCTGCCTGGAGTCTTAAGTGACTGATACGGTCGCGGCCTAAGCATGGGCCTTTGGGGATGGGGGTGGGTGGCCATGGGCTGCGAGCACATATAGGTGCGTCCTTGCCTCCGTTTCTCCTGGAGCAGCGCTCACCTTACGCCACATTCTCGTTCCCTTTCCCGGTGTTGGCCAGGAGTTGGCCAGCCTCAGCCTGACAGTAGAGCGGTGGGGGTGCCAAGTGTGATGCTTTGAAGCAGGTCCAGGGCAGTTGGATGACTGCAGTCCCTTTGGAGCCATGTATCATAACATCCTACACGTACTCAGGGTTTCCAGGGAAGGACCGTGTAACGACGTGCTGATGTGGGTCTTTCTGGGTAATATCAAGTAGCTGAGATGACATTTTCTTTCCGACCCAAGACTTGTACACTATTAACATACGTCAAGCATCTTTTGATGTTGTCACTGCTAATATTTCTCTTCTCAGCTTTAAGGTGACCGCTGTGCATTCCGGGCTTCAGGGTGCTTCCTCCCAGTCTGTGCTGCAGTCAACTATCAGAACCCGAGGACCCCATTTTTCTTTTTTGACATTACAGCTTTAGCCTGAATTGTGGGGGTGGGGAGAGGAGGACTAGAATTTTCCCGCAGATGCCCTTGGGTGACAGGCTGGGTACACATCTGCTAATTATCAAGTGACCTTCTTAAAAAGAAGCATGATGCAGGCTAATACATCTACAGAGCTTGTTAGTGGGTGTCTTTGGGCAAAGGCAGTCGGGTGCTGTGTCGTGTGTGAGCAAAGCTTCACGTTGCTTAGCGATGTGTGTAGTTTAGACGTTTGGAAAACAGCCTTTGGTTTCCAACCCCCTGCGCTGCCCTCCTTCCCTGCCCCTCACATCAGCAGCGCTGCCATTTGCTGGCGACCTCCTCCTGCATGTGGGTGTTCTTCTCCGGCCTGGTTTTCCAACCTCGGAGCCTGGTCTTCCCATCCTAATAAATTAAGAAAAGATTTCCTTTGGGGAGGTGGAGGGGCAGGAGCTGAGTGGGCTGCGGATCCTTGAGCCAGCATGCACTGATGTTCCCAGTCCTGCGTGACTGAAACATTGGCTGCAAGGCCTCAAATCCTAGCCTGTCCCCAAGACTCTTCCTCTGATGTGCAGGGATCAGGCACCAGTTAAGTTGGTTCATTTGCAGAAGCAGCAGGCTAGCAGCTATCGGGCTGCTATTTCAAATACAACTTTATTTCTGATTTTGGTTACGGGAAAACCCATTCGATTACCCAGCAAAGCAAAAGCAAAGTAACCAAAATGATCTCTTGAGAATAAAGAAGGCGTGTGTGTGTGTCTGTGTGTGTGTGTGTGTGTGTGTGTGTATATATATATACATATATATATATATATATAGACACATTTGTATACAGATAAATTACGGTTTCCTTTCTTTCCATGGCAGGGTGTGTACAAACTGTTGTAGTCTGTTTCAAGTGCATGTTCAAACGCTGGAGTGTAAAAGGTGATGCCTTCACCTCTCCTGAGCCGGCTTCTTTGACTAACTCATTTGGTCTTTGTCATTGGGTCCAAAAACCAGCCATGAATTCATAGTGAGTGACTGAGCCATGAGTGTGTGTCCTTTGATATCTTGCCTGTATTTCACGGTCTGTCCTCAAACTGTTCATACTCTCATGAGCTGCCTGTATTTCCAGTTGAAGATGAGCAGCCCTCCACGCTGTCACCCAAAAAAAAGCAACGGAATGGAGGCATGCGGAACTCCCCCAGCTCCTCGCCCAAGCTGATGAGGTAAGGAGAGGGGCCTCGGGCCAGGGGTCCCCTCAAGCTCCTTCTCTTCGTCTCCTCACCCTCTCCCTTCATGCCCAGGCCCCCAAGCAGGCGGAGGGGGAGGGGACGGGATCTTGAGATGGCTTCTTAAAGGCTGGAGTATTTACTCTGTCAGCTTGTCAGCAGTTAATGATAGAGCTGAAAAAACTCTGTCATGAAAAACAGTTTGAAAAGCTGTTTGAAAAATACATAGGCTTTAAAGTCGTAGCTGTCACCATGTCCCGTGTATGTGTAGTTCCTAAACAGCAGTGGCACTAATGACGGCGGCAGCCAATCAGAGGGACGCGCACGGTTAGTTGCCTCGGGCGAGTCTCTTTCTGCTGGGGTCCCTGTGAGGACTGTTGTCTGTACTTAAGGCCATATGTGAGATGTATCATCACAATCAAAAATGAACCTGAAGATTGCCTTCCTTTCATCCTGTCGATTGAAATTAAATTTCTGTTAATTGATGTTGACGGATAAAAAAGTCTAATAATCTGTGGACTTGCCAAAGCAAAGTTCAAAAGTAATGCAGTTCTGCTCAGGCTAAAAGCAGTATTAATTATGAAATAAAGTGTGCGTTCTCTCTCTTTCCCCTTCTCTCCCTCTTTCCCCTATTTCCTTCCTTTCTCCTCCCCCCTTCTCCCCTCCCCTCCCCTCCCCTCCCCTCCCCTCCCCTTCCCATCTTGACTCTGGCTTCCTCTAAGAAATAGAAAGTGAAACCAAATTGCAACAGAGTTCTGCAAATTCCTTTCTTGGCCTCTTTATCTTTCATCTTCCCTGTTTTGTCCTCTGTTCCTGTCAGTCACAGTGCTTACCCTCTCTAACACCCTGACTCTAGCACCTGGTGAAGCAGGTGATCTCAGGTGGCACCTCTCTCCCTAAGTGACCACGGAAACACCTGCCATGTGATGTTACTTTCTTTCCATTTGCATCTACCACTCTTCTGCCTTTGCTTATTGAAATATAATCATAGCGATTTCCCCTCCTCCCCCATCTTCCTGGCTCTCCTCCAGCACCTTTCTGGACAGAGATGGGCAGAGCCCTCCACGCGTTGTGGACACCAGGTCCCATGGAAGACTCACCAGCCCCGTGTCCTCCCCACTGTGACCATCTCTTCCTGTTAATGTTTCCTAAGCAGTCTTCCGCTTCCCCCTCGCTCAGTGTCGCTCAGTGTCGCTGGTCTTCATGCTTGTTTACAGTTCATGAGGAGGAAGGACCGCCCACTGCCAGGCTTCCCCGAAGGCGCTGGCCGCTGCATTCAGCCCCCACCTCTTCCCCGTCAGGCAATCGCTAATGGTTTTGCCCATTGAAAGTAGAGAAAAGCCCAGGCACTTTCTTTTGCCTAAATTTTAGAGAAGCAACTAAATAAATAAAGAGAAGTCTGAGAAATCTGAACCATGGGAGCCACATCCCCTGCCTGTTTGCTATGTAAAGTGCGGCGCGTTCCTTTGATCTCGCGTAATAATAATTCTGAGGAGTTACACTGTTTTCATATGCTTCAAAGCCGTGTCGAAGTTTTGCTGCTTAAGGGTCCTTCTTTATTCTGTTGGCTCTTGGGTACCAAGATGACAGGTCTTCTGTAGGACGTGGAAGCTTTTTTAAGTCATAGCCTTCAGCAAAACATCAAATTACCAAACCCAGGGTAACATGCTTCTACACAAATGCCTTTCCTGTAGATATATTATACCATATATATTAAATACTTTAGTGTTACACGCTACATTTTATGTGCAATAGAAAGTGATGGTTTGAGGTAGCCTTGAGGGGACTTTTCTTCCACAAGCAGAAAAAGCTAGTGTATACCGGAGCACGCATGGTTTTTACAGGACTTTCTGCCCGAGGCCTTTGTAAATAAGTAATGATCAACAGATTGGCTGTGGGTTTTTGAAAAGCATGCCTGTGTCAGTTTGCATGATGGGGGAGAATTTTCAAAGTGGGTCTTGCTTTCATTGCCCGTCGGAGAGGGGCTGTGGGAGGCAGTCATCCGGGCTGGCTGTCTGATCGGGTGCGTCAGAATCGCTAACATGGGTCGGGGGCGACTGAAACTCGCCAGGCTGCAGAGCTCACGTCTCTGGTGTCGGTGCCTTTGGGCTGCTGCGATGGCCGTGCTGCTGTCACCGGGATGCTCACCCCAGCCCCAGTGGTCCTCGGTCGCAGCTGAGCTGGAACGGCTGTCCCACGCAGGTCAGCAAACCTTAGACACTGTTCCGTTACTTCCTGAGCTCCAGGCGTGCTCCGGACTCTGACCGGGAGCCGGGACCAGGCGCTCACCCCTCTGTTCCCTCACCTCCAGTGTGTGGATGAAGACCACGAGTTTGGTGGGTTTGAATACATGGCTGTGGCCTGTTTCAGCCAGATCCCTCCTGTTGACTGAGAGAAAACAGGGCTCATGCAGTACCTTGTGGCTTCTCCAGTCTCCCCACCTCTTCAAACGCTCCCTTTCTGCTCTACAGAAGAGAGGACTCCCAGGTCCGATTCCTTATTACCCGAAAAACCCATAAAGGAAGCTAATGACGTGTTTGAAGTGGGTTTCTCGACATGAGTGTGTGGCTTGCTTTTGGAGCAGAATCAATCACTGTGAACGTGGCAGAGTTGAGTGGCCTATGAGGCAGTGGTAGCAACAGCTCCAGGAGAAACAGCAGCGTCCAGGATGGGCGAGGATGGGCTTTAATTGACCACTGAGGCTTCTGCAAGTAAAACAGGCTCCTGAGCATTCCTGGCAAAACACCTGCCAGCAGGCGGTGCCGCTGGGCGCAGCACTAATGGGGCTCTGTATCCCCTGTGTTCTGGTGTCTGGCCCCCCTTGATTTTTCAGTGTTGCTGAACTCGCTGCGCAGTCATTAGGTGAGCAGCCCGGTTTGTGTGTCTGGATCTGACACAGTGTGTCTCCCTGACAGGAAACAGCCCTCGCAGTCAGACTGAGCCAAATGGCGAATGTCTGTGCTGCAAGCCGGGGTCCGTGTCATGACAGAAGCCCTTTGGCTGCACGGCCTCTGTGACATGGCCGCAGAGGTCCCCGGGGCCCTGCTGTCTGCCTCCTTGTTGCTCTGTAAACTTGGAGCAGCCTCTCCCGGTTTCCCTCCGTGTTCACTGAGCACTGATCATTGCTCCATTCCCAGCTGCTGGGTTTGTGCCTTGTAGGGATAGCTGTGTCTTTCGTGGTAAGGCCCTTTGGGGCAAGAACTGCGTCCCTAAATAACTAAGTCAAGGGTCCTTAATTTGGGGGTCTCACAGGCCCCATTGGGCATCCAGTGAAAACTCTCTAGCAAGTCCCGCTAGGGAAAAAGAAAGTGAGCTGGACACCCCTTGCCTGCAGCTGTGCCAGATTCGGGGACTCCCGGCGTCCCTGCCCAGTTACACCACACGCAGTGCTTTCCACAGCACTTTCTTAGTGCTGCTTGGCTGCCGAGGATACTTCTCGAGGGGTAGGCGGTGGGAGGCCATGCCCGGCTCTCGCCGTGCCCCCAGTGGAGCCCCCAAGGCCTGCGCTGTGCTGTCTGCTCCTGCTCCTCCCTCAAGGCCATTTCTGTGCAGCGTGTGGAGTGCGAGCCTCCTGCCTTCTGGGGAGGTCTGCTAGGGCAAGGCGACGTGGTGCGAGTAGGTGCCCATCTCCAAATGCTCCAGTGTAATGTAGGGGCAGAGCAGCATACATAGCACAGCAGAGCAGGAGCAGTTTGGACAGCAACTGGCCTGGGCCCGAGAACAGAGCTGACGGCCCTCTGCTTGGAAGGCTGGGCCTGTGTGCGAAGGTTTCACCGAGCCCAGCCCTGCATGATGAGGAGGATTCTCTATCGATACTATGACCTACCCTGTTCACTATTTACCGGGGGCCCGGCGACCCTCCAAGTTCGCCATGCCTGTGAACTCACCAAACCCTAACTGCAGCTCCATGAGTAGGAATTACTCTTCCCCCATTCTGCAGATGGAGAGGCTGAGTCACGGCTGGGAAGTCTAGTACATCCAGTAACTCCTACCTAGTGAGGAAGACTGGAACCCAGGCAGTTTAGCTGCCAAGCCCATAGTATTCACTCCTTCACTGTCCGCCCAGTGGAGAGAGGTGCTCAGGCCACAGGAAGCAACTTGGTGTGGCTGGAAAAGGGTCCTTGCGTAGCCTGGCGCCTGCTCAACGAGGCCTTTCCTGTCGTAGGCGTGGGGAACCCTCGCCGGTTTCCAAGGAGGAAGGGCCCTAACTTGTGTTTGGGGGTCTCTGGTGGCCTTCTGGCAGCACATGTTACATAAACACAGAGGTATAAAGAGAAGGCCCCCCCCACCCCAGTCTCTGCCGAGGTCCTTTGGGTGCCAGACCGGAAGTGGACTGCATGGTCTTCCCAAGGACACACAGCCTTTCTGACATCAGTTCACAGAACACCCATTTCTCCAGGAGCTGGGGAACCTGGGGTGACACCAAGACGCTCGGCCGCGAGGATTTAGGCACGATGTGTCGGATAGACAGTTCACCAGAGGCGTGGCCCCAGCCAGGCCAGCGAGGATAATCGGTGATACCAGAAACAGAGAAATTGAACACTCGGGGAGCTTCATGCCACGAGACCGAGAAAATATTAGACATTTGTTTTCTGAATGGGAGGAGAAATATGATTTGAGGAAAACAGATTATCCTCTTGGGCATTTATTGATCATTAAGTGAAATAAACTCATCTTCTTGTTAAGTCCCAGGATTTCTCCTTTGGCTCTTACCTTCCACGGGGTCTTTTGTCAGCTTGAGGGGTTCTAGCAGTAGAAGATGATAAAATGACCTGAGCCCCATCTGAGTTGGGCAGAATGCTGTGCCACAGTTCCTTGCACTGGGCAGAACAAAGGAGGACAGCTTAGCCAAATAAACTGACCTCTCAGCGCAGACGGCTAGGACGTGGCAGGCTTCGTGGGCCTGGAGAGGGAAGCGGCAGTGGGTCTCACCCCAGCATTGGTGGCTTTGACACAGGTCCTCCCATCCCCAGAGCACCCTGTACACGCCCCCTGGG